CATTATTGGATGTTTGAAAAAGAATCTTAGCACCTTTTTAATAAGATTTTTAGATTTCAGAAAGAACAGTAGCAGATACTCTATGAACTTATAATATGAAACGAATTGCCCAATTTGATGGCACCACTTTTTAAAAGTTTAAACAAAAACACTCCTTCCATCCATCGTCAGCTGCTTTTCCTGCGTACAGGGTCATGGGGGGGCTGGAGCCAATCCCAGCTGACATCGGGCGCAAGGCGGGGTACACCCTGGACAGGTCGCCAGTCCATCGCAGGGCCACACATAGACGAACAACCACTCACACTCACATCCACACCTAAGGAAAATTTTACAAAAAGACTCATTATAGGAAAATACATTACAACATCTTCTAAGTTGTACTTTATTTACACATACCTTTGGTCATGTTCAGTGTTTTGAAGTGGCAAAATTATTTTAGCACATATGTTTAAATAAAAAACTGCAACAAAATTTTTAAGTGGACGAGACAAATGTTTTAGCTGTGATCCTACCCTCTGTTGTATGTAAGACAGTTACACCTGTAGAAACACAACGGGACAAAAATGCTTAAAAATGACTGTAGGAAAAATGTATTTTTGTCACTTCAATCAAAACAGTCTTTAGAACTGAAGTGGTTCAGAAATCTAACCAGCATTGGAAATTATTTGTAATGCAGCACAGTAGTTTCAAATCAAAGAGTTGATAAGATTACACTTCTGACTGTCAGTGATACGGCTCACTTGTTTTCAACTATATTTAACTAGAGTAACAAAACTAACTAAGGGCAATGAGGGACTGGGATGAAAAAACATGTTAACAATTTCAAGTCACACTGGTTTTTCTATTCAGGTCTTTCTTCATCTGTTCTCACCAGTGGAGGTAAATGGTGATGAAGACTTTAACCAAATCAGTTGTCTTTTGGCTAAAGTTACTGGCACCCAAGGGGTTGCTCTCACCCTACCAGAACTTGCTCCGTGGACTAACGATGAATAAGTTCATGTAGCTTTTCTTTACTTGTCCAGGTTTGGTTCTGTCCAGTTAGGCATTATGAATGTCTCCTCAAACGAATGAAATCAGAAGTATGACAACTACACTGTCAAAGGTGTGACTGCACTCTCAAGGTTGTTTGAATCATTAAATGTTGCAAACATGGCCATAGGCAAAAAGTGTATCCCAAATAGAAAAGAATGTGCCTGTTGTAAATGAAGAGAAGAGAAGCAGAGGAGGGCAGGAAAGACAGACCCCTGCTGTGGCAGCTCTATATTCTGACTTAGTTGTGTGACCGAGCGAGCTATCGGCCCCTGGCTCACCCTGACCAAGGTACAGCTCTCCCCTCTGGGACCAAATACACACAGCCCTCTATCTCTAGCTCTTATCTGCTACCAGGCCGCTACTCTGAGTGTTTGTGTGTCTGAGGACTCCTTTGAGTGGAGTTGTTCTGGCCTTGTCACACTGATAGCCATATCAACAGTTACGAGTGGCTGATGGACTGCAGAACAACTGGCCCATTGTTTCTCTGATTGTGTGTGTGTACTAAGCCATCAGAAATTGCATTTCTACGAGCCACAAATGTCAGACGCACTGTGCTCATGTATTGTGTGTGTGTGTGTGTGTGTGTGTGTCGTATGTGCTGCAGTGTAATCCGCCAGAGGCTAGGATGTGGGTCACTGTGACTGCAGGTCTGCGGGTAGAGACAGCAGCAGCACACTGCCTCTGTACTTGGAGTAGGGGGACTAGTCTGGCAAAAAAAGTTTCAGAAAAATGCAAAGTTAAGCAGGGGCCAACCTACAGTAGAGATTTTACTTTTTTTCAACTGTGCATTTTTACATTCCCTGAAGTGCAGCGCTTTGGCTGTTTTAGTCATTCTAGCCTTTTTTTTCTGTGTGCTTAGATAGACGTGTTGAAAATATTCAAATATGGGCATCCCAAACTGTGGAGCTAGCCTTATTATAATGCGGTCTACTGAGACATAGTGATAGAAACAGAGATGAAAATCTGTGTGACTTCTTAATAAGGCTAAATTGGAAAAAGGATGGCCAGATTAGTCATGCCTGGGGCTCATAGGGGATTTCATAGAGGAGTCCTGCAGCCATTAAGCCAAAGTTATTGCTTAACATTTGGAACACACAATGAAAGCTTTTTTCATTGGAGGTTAGTGTGTGTGTGTGTGTGTGTGTGTGTGTGTGTGTGTGGACCTCACGTCAGGGCTGCTTAAATGAAATGATGATAGCGGTAGCTTGTAAAGGAAGTGTGTGTGTGTGCAGTTGTATGTGTATATTTAGAACTTTTTCCGGTGATTGATTGTTCATTTTGCAGCAGCCATTAGGCTATTGAGTGTCCATTTTCTGAAATATAGTCCCATATATCAAACCACTTGCACTGGTCCAGTAATGTTAAATCGCAGGATCAATGAGGACTGAGTGTGCAAACACACAGGTAGGTTACATGATGCAGCTGCCAATTACAGGACATAATAATAATAATAATAACAACAATAATAATAATAATAGAGGATATTTATTTGTTAAGTGGCTTTTAATGGCACTGTTTCTCTCCTGTGAAGGAACAACAGATTTGCTTTTTGTTGAAGGCTCATGCTGTAGATATTATACACACCCGCTTGCCAGGTCTATTATATGGGGTCTACAAATGTTTACTGCACATGTATCATGTCATCCTAACGAGGAGCCTATTGAAGTTGTGTTACGATGAATGTACTTACTCTGCTACATAAAAAAATTAAGTTTTTGAATCGTTGATGTTATTGCTGTATATGCAGCTAAAAACTTCTGTTGTGCGGAAAACGCGTTAAACCGACACATCACCTCAACAGGAGGAGATTGCACGCTGCGTAGAATTGCTAGGAAGCCTGTCCTGGCTTGGGAATTTTTCCGGGAGCGTTTGAGCACACAGCTGGGGACGTGCATACTCTAAGCTTGATCCTGTTAACACGGCGGCTGGCCAGAGCAGCGACAGGAGAGAAACATGGAACCAAGAACAAACCACAAGCCTCCAGATGTCACCAAGACAAAAAGATGGATAGGAAAGTTTTGGGCTAAATCTCTTCTGTGTAATCACTGAGGACGCAGGCGAGGGATGGTAGTGTGTGTTTGTGTGTATTGTCATCCCTGTTGTGCCTGTTAACAGTGGTCTAGCGGCCTGCTGCTTCGTTGCTTGTGCTCCCGACGTAAACAGGAAACAGATCTCTCCCTGTCTCTCTCCTTTCTCTTTCCTTTTCTGTCCGTCCCTTGATCCCTGTTTTGTACTCTTCCTATCATGCCTATCTCTGTGAGTACATACAGTATATCTAAAAAGTGACAGGCCACCTAACTCCCAGAGCACAACCTTGTTATGGAAAGCAAAGCATCCTGTTGTGTGAGCTGTTTCATCCAGGATCAGTGTGACATAAGAGTGTGTCCAGAGAGATAGAACCAGCTGCTTTTTAACTTTTTTCTCCTTGCTCTATTCCTGGCATTCCTGTTTTTCCTCCCTGGGCTTCCCCTGGAAAGCTGTCACAAATGGTGAGCTACAGCTACAGTTGCCTGTGATACTGTTGTCGTCATCTTTTGTTGCCTTTCCTCTAGTCCCTATTTAGCATTGATTTGGTGTTTGTGCGTGCTAGAGGTGCTACAGGCCCCTCAGGACTTTCCTTTCCCACACCGCTGGCAGCATGAGGTGTTTGACAGGGCAGGAGGTGGAAGGGATGTGCAGTTGGCACAGGATTGGCACTGTTTGTTGTTGCTAAGACCAAAGATCTTTGGACTCCCTCTGTTACGACATATGCTACAGCGTCACATAACACATGTAGAAACCTTGGCTGAGAACCAAACATGCACACACACTTCAGGCTCACAGCAAGCTATCACAGTGTCTTAAGAAAAGATACCTTTCTTCCTGTCTTACCCAGCCTCTGCTCTCTCCTGTGTCTTTCTGCAGCAGTCTTTAGAGAGACAGCAGAATAGTTAGGTTTAATGCTTCACCATGGCTGGTTGGTCACAGTGTGTTCATCCTGAGCTTGGGGAATTGTGAAGGACTGGTTTGACTGTGTGTAAGTTTTAGGCCAGACTGCACTACCCTCTATGAGCAAAGATGGTTTCAGAGCTCCTGAACCTTGTTTGATCCAGTCCTTCAGAGTCTGCAAGCTTTAGCATGCAAGGTGATATGTGGGTGCAGACATGCATAAATCACATGATGTGCATGTTAAGTGGTTTCTGCTTGCTGAAAGATAAAGTTTGCTTAGCAGAAGTTTCATCATCAGTCCACCAATGAGCTCCTCCTCATCTCTGTATTTGTTAGTCTGCCTCAGTCACTGGTGTTTGGGATTCGCGTCAGGAATTATGTCGGCCCAGGGTGAATGGAAAGAGGCCAGCGTGGGAGAAGAGACTTGGTGGATTAATAACAGTGAGGGTTCTGTAGGGACAGAGATAGAGGCACGGGTAGGGTGGGATCATGAGGACCCAGCCTTTTGGCTGCCACGCTGCATTTTGTGCGTAGGTTCTCAGCTGGTCACAGCTGGAACGAAGTGAAGTAAGGAGGTGTACAAAAGAGAGGGATGTGTCTTAACTGAAAGTTTATACTATCATTCTTTTTTGTGCATGTTTTAACTGTATTCTGCTAGACAGTTTGAGATTTTGTAACCATAATGCATCAACATCAGTTACATTTTACCACATCCTGACATGAGGGCTCAACACATCAAAATAAGCTCACTGCAGCAAATGAATGTAGCAGAACAGAAAAGTATATTTAATGTGGATCACTGTAGTGGTGTTAAAAATATAGATTTTTTTGATACATATCGATTATGAATATTTGAAACAGTTTTGATATTCATTTACCGCAGTATCGATCCTGAAAATGCGCTTTTCTTCTCCCCAACAGCGAGCTGATGCGCACACACCGCTGCAGCGCCCAGACAGCCCCGCCTCTTGTCACTCACAGCGCTGTCTTCTCTTCTCATTCGCTCCTTTTGAATTGCTTCTTTTTTTTTTTCCTACCAGTGTTTTAACAAGTCCCGCCCTACTGTGCTGTGTTTGGCTAGTACTCGTCACTTTGGATTGGATGCTGGCAAAGGATACAAGCAAGCCCATATGAAAGTGACAGTACAGAGCGGTGCTAAAGAAAGAGCAAAGCACCTGCAGGACCGACACGCCATCCTCTATAAAGAACCTGGAGTGGTGGAGACGTCTGCCCTTTCAACATCACAAAAGTATTAAACAGATGGCCCAGTAAACTGTTCTGATAAGATAATTGTCCTGTTGTTTGTTTGACATTTGTAATTCTCAAAACTAAACTAATCCCCCTCAGAGCTGTCAGACCTGAGGAATCTCAGACAGCAGAATTTCAGTTGATAGAAAATACTTTGACTAATGGCAGAAGTAAATTAACTGATGCTGTTCTGCTTAACACATTACTATTAACTTTACTTGCTAAGATAAGTCAGTAATTTTTTTCAGTAATTAGTCGGTACTGGCACTGATCTTAATCAAACGGATTGCCTCGATGCATTCCTACAGAGAATGGGTGTTTTGGGATTGAAGAGACAACTGTAATACTAAGAATGGTGATCATGTCAAAGGGCGGATTCTGGTGGTGTTATAATGCAAGCTCGAGAGTTACTGCACCTAACAACAACACCAATCTTCTTTACTTGCAACGAAGTGGACACACACTCACAAATCTGTCTCTGCTCTCTAGATGCTTGTGTCAGAGCAGTTTTGCCGTACATAATGTCATGTGCCATTGGCACAGCTCACTGTTTGGACAGGTGTATCTCTGCACACTTCATTGTCCATGTGTTAGCGTAACAACTGAGGCAACACATCTTGATTTACATTTGTGTGTGTTTAAAATCAGGTCTGTCTTACAGCAGAATATATTACAACTACCTTTTGTGGTTTTAAAGTTCTGAGGTCATTCAATACATTTAATAATAGAACAATTAATACCCAGGCAGAGGAAAAGCTGAGTTTGCTGCATATGTTGGACTTTGCTGCACTGCTGGAGAAGAGCCCAAAAACACACACACACAGTATTGCTCTCATTGAAATTTTCAAATTCAAATTTGGTTTATCAGCATGGCCATTGTACAGTATTGCCAAACCGCATTGTACGAGGTTTACTTCCTCGTTTTCTGTCTGTGTTTCATTGTCTGCCTCTCTTGCTGTTTGTGTTTGTTCAGTTGTCAGTTGTCAACATATAGCACACACAAAAATAAAAAACCCAAAGTTTCACTAGGCATGTGACGGGCAGGAATCAGAATGAGGAGAGGAAGAGGATTGCTCTGCAGACAGAGGCAGAGATTGGATGCTATTTGTACTGCAGTGTGGTGTGTGTGGTTCTATAGGTTTATTTTGTGATTGTCAGGGGAATCTAATAAGTATTTATAGAAGCTCTTGCCTGTCCTGCTTTCAATTTGCAGATGGATTACATTGGTTCCACTCAAACTTTGTGGAGGTGTGTGTAAGATTAAGGGAGAGAAAATAGGGATAGAAGGAGAGACAGTTTGTGATGTGTGTGTAAGACAGAGAGAGAGAAATTGGGAAGAGTTGAAGAATGATTACTCACCCAGGAGTAGACACCTTTGGTGGCAAGGACCCTTAACATGCACAAGCTTACCTGCACTGCAGCACAGCCTCCTCACACTCACTAACGCAGGAGTGTGTGGGCTGGCAGGAGATTTATGGTATGGCTCTTAATACAAACTCTTACACACACACACACACACACACACACACACACACACACACACACACACACACGCTGGCAATATGAAGTCCCAGTCGACCAGAATGATGACTTGGCTTTAAAGTAGGCCAAGGACCAGATTGAAGGACACACTCACACTGAGTCATATTCACTCTCATCTTCATTCTCTGCGGATTTTTCAAAAATAGCAGATTAATCCAGTGAAATGAGCAGTTCTGAGAATCAGTCAGTTGTCTGTCCCCATATCCTTCTAACCCTTCATCCCTCTGTCTTCTCCCTCCCTCTCTTTTTGCCCTGCTCCAATGCTGGCAGAGAGTCTTTGGTTATGGTTGATTTTTTCAGGGGAGGGGGTGGTAGTCTTATAACAAAAATACAAAGAGATACAGAACTAGGCTGAGGCTGTGTAAATGATTGACAACTGGAGACATTCTTGGTGACATTGTGGCTCTGAATGTGACAAAGATGTTATTGTGCAGGCACAGCCAGGAAATATGTTTGAGGCCATTGAAAGACAGTTTCTCATTGGTCTTCCTGGTGTTGTTTTGCATCTGAGGTGCGATCAGAAAAGTCTCTATTTTCCAAGCCTTTAACAAAAAACACAGTCCCAAATCCACTTACTATAACTGAAATGTTTAAGAGATCAAAGGTGTGACTTTCAGTAGTGTCAGAAATACAGTATTGAGGTTAAATGCTCTGTATAGCGCCTTTCCGTCCACTCAAAGCGCTTTTACACTACATCTGCATTCACCAGTCAAACACATTCATACACTGAGTGCTCAAACAGAAACTAACATTCACAATTCGGGGTTCAGTATCTTGCCCAAGGACACTTCGACATGCAGCCTGGGGGAGTCAGGGATTGTTGATTGAACCGCTGACCTTCCGATTAACAGCCAACCCGCTCTACCTCCTGAGCCACAGCCGCCCAAGGGTTCAGTGATATGTTAGAGAGGTCATATTATGCTTTTTGAGATTCTTCACTCAGTAGCCAAAACAGAGCGTTCAACGCACAGGTGAAAAGAGAGGCTGCAGTAATGAACAGCATGACAAAAATATGTTTTGTTGTTTTTTGAAAATGAATACATGTAAGCCTATTCTGGTACACCAATTATGAACCTGAAAATGAGCAAAATATGACCCCCCCCCTATGAAATTTTCTGGCTAGCCGCTGTCAGCCCAACAACTGGCAATTGGCCATATATTCAAACAGGTGTAGGTACACTGCTGCAAATTAGCATAATTAAATGACAGAAATCACCAAAAAATATATTTGTTCAGTCACCCAACCATAGACTGCTTGTGTTATTGTTTCTGACTTGTGCGATCCAAACATTTACAATAACTCCAGGGCAATGTAAAGTCAAAATTTATTTTTAAAAAAGATAAATGTAGTAATTTCCAAAATTCAAAACATGTTGTTGTCTAATGACATATTCCACATCAGTCCAAATTTGTTGATGTTTCCAACATTTTAACTGGATTTAAAAAAAACTTGCTGCACACAAATGGTGGCACGCACCTTTATTAACGGGGTGGTCTAGCAGCAAACTAACAGCACCATGCCTGATGAATTATGTTCATCAAAGAAAATTGATTTAATAAAACAGACTAACTCAGTAGGGGAGTTTTGTTTGATTTTGTTTTATTTTTAAGGTGATGATGTCATAAAACAGACATTCGAAGACATTTGGTACAGCACCAAGTAGGCTAATTGCATATTAGGCTCAGTATTGTAGACTAGATAATGTCATACATGATAAACTTCTATCACCAGCATTGACTAGGTGGGGTTTTTTGTTGTTTTTTTTAATAATACAAATACCATCATATACTGTGTACCTCTGTGCAATGTCAAGCATGTATGAAGGTATGAATAAACAGATACTATCCAGGCCTTCTGCTTAGCATACATGTTTCTTTTTCACATTTGTAGCGAAACAATGTTTTTAGCCTGTGCCTGTTTCTCTCTTGTTCAAGGAGCATGTTTGAGTGACACGCAAAGGAGGAAGTGGGATCTCTGACGCTCCCCGCCCTGTCTTCTGGTGGAGCACCCTGCACATCTGACCAGAGACCCCTTTAGTCACTTAGGAACAGGTATGAGTATAGGAGTGATTGGGCTGTATGAAATGGAGCATCGGGTTAGTTCAGCTCTATAATAACTTAGGCCAAACTTCACAATGTGTTTTTGAAAATACCAAAATAAACACATGAGGGAAAAGAATAAACTGAAAACACTATAAATATAAAACATCATATATGCCAGAAGTTTATCATCCTTACATTTATTCTGCTGGTGTCCCTTATGTCACCAGCGCTTGCTGCTGCAGCCCTCATCTTCTTATGTATTGAAGCTTTTGGTAATGTTGATTTTGATAAAATATGTTTGTATGTTTAAAACTATCGCTGAATTCTGTATGCTATGGTTCACGTGTTATTATGATGTGGATTCTTTTAATTCTGAATATTCAGAATTCTTTTGTCATACTTATATTTAACCCATTGTACCCATTTGAAGTGAATTAGTAAGTGAATTTAGATGTTTGTTGATGTTAGATGGTCTCTGCGCGGGTTGATCCAATTGCGGTTTGGTGGGCTGCGGTGGGATTGTGGGGCGATTGTTGATGCATCTTGATGCATTATACTTTTTCCCTGGGCAGGGTCTCTGGATGGCTGCTGGGCATTTAGTTTGTGCATTGGAGTCCGGGGGAGGCATCTCCTCGTTGGCTTGGAGGGACCTGTTTGCGTCCCTGTTTTGCTTCGTTGGCCTCAGATCCGTGCTTGCCCATTTCTCTGTCGGCCAGTTGTTGGACCCCTCTGGATACTGAGGTATATAGTTAGTTTTCGGGATGTGCAGTGTGGGTGCGGGGCAGGGCTGTGCTCCGGTTTGTTCTGGGTTTGTGCCTGGAGTTCTCGGCCCTTGACGGGTGGGTGGGTTGTTGGTGGCATGCAGCTGAGCTAGTTGATTTTGCCTCGTTGCTGGTTTGGCTGGTGTTGCATGGCGGCCGGGGGGCGCGCTGGGCATGGGGGATGTCGGCTGGCGCCAGCGGCCTTAGTTTTTTCCGGCGGTTGGGGGGGCGGCGGACTTTTATTGGTGGGTGCACGGTGAACTGTGCGGCGTGTTTGCTGCCGGGCTGGGACTTGCTGCTGGTGTTTCTCTCCACTGGCTTTCGCTGTCGTGTTGTTCCGTTTGCTCTCTCTCGTTTGCCCGACCTCGCACACGGGATTCGCGGGGGGCTGCTGGGCATTGGTGTCGCCGTGCTCGCGCAGTGTGCGCGTTGGGCTCGTCACTTGTGCATTGGTGTTGATGATTGCGTGGCATTTGGGCATTTTGGTTGTTCGCTGCGCGGCGGTGGGGTGCTGGGGGTAGGTGTGGCACAGTCGTGGCATCCCACTCTAATGTCTATGAAGATCCTCAGTCATCCAGGTCATAGTTATCCAACGAAGGTTAAAATCAAGGGCAACTGGACTTGGTTGAAGATACTGGAAGACGTTTCGTCCCTCATCCAAAGGACTTCTTCAGTTCTGACTGACTGGCAGAGAAACTCAGCTATTTAACCTCAGTGGGGTCGTTATCCCGGGTCATCAATACCGCTGGTTCGTTAGTGTTCTTTGTTGCTGTGACGACAGTCGTTACAGTCGTTAAGACTACCTGTGGCCAAGACTGAACGACCATCGTTGGTATCTTCACCTGAGGCCAATAGGTTACGTTTGTTGAGTTTTCTGGGAAGTGATGAAAGGACAGCATTGTAAGTGGGGGATAAGTGGTGGCGTAGACCCCCTCCTCTGTTCAATGACGGCTTCTCAACCCGGGTGTAGATGGCTTCCTTGACACCTCTTTCAAACCATCCATCTTCTCTGTCTAAAATGTGCACCTGGTGGTCCTCAAACGAGTGTCCTCTGTCCTTCAGATGTAAGTAGACTGCAGAGTCTTGACCTGAGGAGTTGGCCCTTCTGTGTTGAGTCATGCGTTTGTGTAGTGGTTGTTTAGTCTCCCCAATATACAGGTCTGTGCATTCCTCACTGCATTGGACCGCATACACTAGATTGCTTTTCTTGTGTTTGGGTGTGCGGTCTTTGGGGTGTACCAGCATCTGTCTTAGTGTGTTCTTGGGTTTAAAAAACACAGGGATGTTATGTTTGTTGAAAATCCTCCTGAGTTTCTCTGATACTCCAGACACGTACGGAATCACAATGTTGTTGCGTTTGACCTTCTTTTCCTCCTCCCCTGTAGTTTTGTTCTTCTTGGATCTTGTGGCTGTCTTCACAAAGGTCCATTTAGGGTATCCACAGGCTGTAAGTGCCCCCTTCAGGTGGTTCTGTTCCTTCTCTCTGGCTTGGGCGCTTGTTGGTATGTTTTCCGCTCTGTGGTGCAGTGTTCTCATGACCCCTAGCTTGTGCTCCAGTGGGTGGTGTGAATCGAAGAGTAGGTATTCAATATCTTACCCTAAATGGACCTTTGTGAAGACAGCCACAAGATCCAAGAAGAACAAAACTACAGGGGAGGAGGAAAAGAAGGTCAAACGTAACAACATTGTTATTCGGTACGTGTCTGGAGTATCAGAGAAACTCAGGAGGATTTTCAACAAACATAACATCCCTGTGTTTTTTAAACCCAAGAACACACTAAGACAGATGCTGGTACACCCCAAAGACCGCACACCCAAACACAAGAAAAGCAATCTAGTGTATGCGGTCCAATGCAGTGAGGAATGCACAGACCTGTATATTGGGGAGACTAAACAACCACTACACAAACGCATGGCTCAACACAGAAGGGCCAACTCCTCAGGTCAAGACTCTGCAGTCTACTTACATCTGAAGGACAGAGGACACTCGTTTGAGGACCACCAGGTGCACATTTTAGACAGAGAAGATGGATGGTTTGAAAGAGGTGTCAAGGAAGCCATCTACACCCGGGTTGAGAAGCCGTCATTGAACAGGGGAGGGGGTCTACGCCACCACTTATCCCCCACTTACAATGCTGTCCTTTCATCACTTCCCAGGAAACTCAACAAACGTAACCTATTGGCCTCAGGTGAAGATACCAACGATGGTCGTTCAGTCTTGGCCACAGGTAGTCTTAACGACTGTAACGACTGTCGTCACAGCAACAAAGAACACTTACGAACCTGCGGTATCGATGACACGGGATAACGACCCCACTGAGGTTAAATAGCTGAGTTTCTCTGCCAGTCAGTCAGAACTGAAGAAGTCCTTTGGATGAGGGACGAAACATCTTCCAGTATCTTCAACCAAGTCCAGTTGCCCTTGATTTTAACCTTCGTTGGATAACACAGACACAAACAAACTTAGGTTGTCCCTGGTAGAATTATTCCTGATGCCTTTCTTTCAGTTACTTATTTAAATTAATTATTATTCCAGCTCTCGTGGCTGTGTTGTGTTGCTTATTTAGTGTGTGTGACTGTTTCTTGTTTTCATTGTTCTCTTAGTTGTCTTAATATGTCAGCTGTTTATTGCTGCTGTTCGGCTGGTTGTCTTTTACTATTATTATTATTTTTATTGTTTGTTTTTGTTTGTGTGTGTTTGTTGTTGTTGTTGTTTTTCTCCTCCCCAAGCCCCCCTCTCTGTTCTATTGCAGGTTTCGTTGCTTTCTGCAATTGGTGTTTCCCACAGCTTTTCCCTGTTGTCCCCACCCTCCATCCCCCTTTCCCCTTCTCTTGCAGGTGTTGTCCTTTCTCTGTGCTGTCTGTTTGTGCCCCCCCATCCCCGTGTCTGCCCCCCTGTCCGGCCCGGTGACAAATCAATACATAATTAAATAAATAATAAAACAGACAAAGGAGTATTTTAATACTCTCTTGTTAAAGTAAAATCTGTCTGGTACAATATGGTATCCAGGTCATTATACTCTATACCAGGCTGCTGGGCAGGACAGGTTTAAAAAAAAATAAAAAAAAGATGTTCGTTGATGCCCAAAGGTTAATTGCATGGGAGATTGACTTGGTGTAGGTATTGTTAATGAGGTAGCTTTATTTTTAAGATGATGATGATGATGTGATATACAATCCAAATCTGTACTTAGTGATTAACGTTCTTGCTTGGGTCTTTGACGCATTGCAGAAACTTGCTGAGCCTGTGTCTTGAGATTACATAAATGTTCAGCGGTTAGGGGTTTGAGTTCCAAAGTACCGCCAATGCAGAACGTACTTCCCGAGTCCTTAGTGTTGCTTGCTTTGTATGCTTGTATTGGTGGTTTGTGGGTGGCCTGTGATACATAAACTCATTGTTATATTATGATTAATTATAGCATAATCATGCATATTAACAATAGAATAGCAATACTTGGCTACTGAACAGTGCCATTTTTAATGCGCGGAGCTGTCAAATCCACATTATACTTTTAGCAATGTTCATCTTTGATTATTGTTTTTCCCTGGATTCAAGTGTCATGCAAAACTTTGACAAAAAATAAACATGATATATTTACTATGTATGTTAATTAGATGTTGTAAAATTAATAGTAAAATGTACTGCGTGCTTTGAAAATCCAACTTTGTAATAAATAATACATGATTTGAAGGGCTAGAATATGCAAAAACACCTCAGTCAGTCTTTTAAGAGAAGCAAAACAAAGGGTTGTTTTTCTCAGTGGGGAAAAAGCTGTTCTCTCCTCAAAGCCTTCCCAGTACAAACAATACTTAACAATTCTGAAAGAACAACTATTTGTATAAAATAACATTATTTGTGATTAACAGATACTAGAGGAACATTGCTCTTATTTTCTCATGCGACTGCAAGAAGATTTGGATTTAGATAGCCACTGAACAGTATGGTTGCCTTGGAACTAATTCCTGTCTAGAATGTAAAAGCAAGTGTAATGTCTGTCACATTTTTATGTTCACAATTTTTTTTAGGTAGACTGTCATAGTGGTTAGTAAGCAGGGAAACACTGCTGTAATGCCAAAGCCTCATAAATCCTGCAGTAGTAGCTGTAGCAGCGCTGAGAGCAGCTGACATACAGCAGAGGCCAGACAAACCTGCCAGGTCAAACAGCTCAGACATTAAGTATTGTGATTTGGTCGGGGGGTGTGTGTGTGTGTGTGTGTGTGTGTGTGTGTTAACACTAATTAACAAAC